GCAGGCTTTTGTGCAGAAAATGACAAACTGACTCTAAATTTTATGTAGAAACCAAAAGAATTAAAAAGACCTAGAAGAACCAAAATAATTTTTGAAATGAACAAAATTGGAGGACTTATTTTTGTATTTTTAGTAGAGACATAGTTTCACCATGTTGGCCAGGCTGGTCTCAAACTCCTGACCTCAGGTGATCCACCTGGATTGAGTGAAACTCCATCTCAAAAAAAAAAAAAAAAAAAAAATTGGAGGACTTATACTACCTGCTTTCAAGACTTGTTATAAACCTCCAGTAATCACGACACTATAGTATTGGCATAAAAATACACATATCTACATAAAGATGTAGATTGTGTAGATCAACAGAACAGAATAACACATAATAGAGAGTCCAGAAATTGACCTAAATATATATGGCAAATTGATTTTCTACAAAAGTGCCAATGTGATTTGATGGGGAAAGGAAAATCTTTACATGAATAGTACTGGAACAATTATGCATTTATATATATACACATATATGTATATATGTATACACATACACAGGCAAGAAAAGAAAATTTTAAAAATGACCTATTACCTCACCCCATATACAAAGATTAACTCAAGATGGATCATAGACCTGAATATAGGAGCTCAAATTATAAAACTTCTAGATTAAAAAAAAAAGGCAAATGATTTGAACAGACACTTTACCAAAGATATACAGATGGAAACATACATGAAAAGACATTGTTATGGACTAAATGTCTGTGTACCCCCAAAATTTACATGTTGAACCTCTAACTCCCAGTGTAGTAGTATTTGGAGGTGGGGCCTCTGGGAAGTGATTAGGGTCAGATCAGATCACGAGGATGGAGCCTCATGATGGGATTCACTTTCTTACAAGAGGAAGAAACACCAGAGCACTCTGATGCTCTTGTTCTTTTCTCTCTCCTCTTCTCTCTCTCTCTCCCCTTCTCGCTCTCTCTCTTCCCTTGACCTTGTAAGGACGGAGAGAAGGAAGTCATCTGTGTGCCAGGAAGAGAGCCTCACCAGGAGCCAAATCTGCCAGCACCTTGATCTTGAACTTACCAGCCTTCAGAACTGTGAGGAATACATCTCTATGGTATTCTTCAGCCCAAGTTGACTAACACACATACTCAGTACTATTAATCATTAGGGAAATAAATTTAAAACTACAATGTGATACCATTGTACCCTCCAGAATGGCTAAAATGGAAAAGATGGACAGTACCAAGTGTTGGCGAGGATGTGGAGCAACTAGAACTCTCATACATTGCTGGTGGAAATGTGAATGGCACATTTACTTTGGAAAACAGTTGGCAGTCTTTTGTTTTTTTTTTTTTGAAGCAAAGTCTTGCTCTGTTGCCCAGGCTTAAGTGCAGTGCTGCTATCTCAGCTCATTGCAACTTTACCTCACAGGTTCAAGAGTTTTTATCTGCCTCAGCCTCCCAAGTAGCTGGGATTACAGGTGTGCACATCTGGCTAATTTTTGTATTTTTAGTAGAGATGGTGTTTCACCATGTTGGCCAGGCGGGTCTTGAATTCCTGACCTTAGGTGATCTGCCCACCTCAGCCTCCCAAAGTGCTGGGATTATAGACATGCACCACCCCACTCAGCCTAGTTGGCAGTTTCTTATACAGTAAAATATACACTAATATGACCCAGCCACATCAGTCTTAGGTACTTACTCGGGAAAAATGAAAACATAGGTCCCACGCCGAGACTTAAACATGAATACCAATGCCACTCATAAAAACTAAAACCCCAAAAGAACCCCAAAGGGCCATCAACTGGCAAATGCATACACAAATTGCTGTGTACCCATATAATGGTGCTGTACTAGGGACATGGGTGGTTGATAAAAGAAACAATGGAGATCCTCTCAATAGCATTATGCTAAGTGAAAGAAATCAGACACAAAAAGCAACACACCATAGGATACAGTTTATAAGAAATTCTAGACAAGGCTAAATGATGGTGACAGAAAACAGATGAGTGGTCCCCAGGGCCAGGGGCTGGGAGAAGGGGACTGGCTGCAGACAGGTGCAGAAACTTGCGTGGTGATGGGAATGTCCCACGTCTGGATAACGATGGTGGCGGTTACATTGACTGCATGCATTTGTGAAAACTCATCAAACTGCACACTTCAAACGGGGAAGTTATTCCTCAATAAAGCTACAGAAATTAAATAAGTCACTTTTTTTTTTTTTTTTTTTAATTGCTGTCAAATAGAACAAGAGTGAGGACGTAGAACAGCCAGGCAGAGCCAGCCTGCAGCGGGTAGGGCCCGAGCAAGTGAGAACGCAAAGACCCCAAGAAGTGGGGCTGGATTTCAGGCTTTCGGGATGAAGCCAGCTATGAGAGGTTGAGCTTGTGTCCCCAGAAGCTCAAGGAGAGGACCTGAGGCGCTGGAGGGGGCATCTCAATGGAGGGGGCACCGGAGCAGGTGGAAGGAGCTGGGCTCCAGGTACCTGGTGTGGGAGGATGCACGTTTCCCAGAGGCAGCTGGGGTAGGGTGGGTATCCATGAAGGGGTGCATCTGAGTGCTCGCATGGAACCCGCTTATGGGCTTGGGTTTGCCCTGTGAACTGGGAGCTGAGAGGGGCAGGCAGATGGGAGGCTAGGTGAAGGGAAGACCCCTCAAGGCCTCCTCACACCCAGACACCAGCTCTCAGTGACCTGGCGCCACATCCCTGGCTCCCATCTTGCTCTCCCGAAGGACATCTGCCCAGGTGCCCCCAGTGGGTGTCAGTGATGACCTATCCCCTGACCCCCCTCTAAAGTCCCTCCCCAAGGCCACAGCTGTCAAACTGTGAAAACCCCAGACCCAAAGGCCTCTTCAGGCTCCAAGACGGAGCAGCAGCCTGGGGCAGTGGTTGCCCTCCCCACCAGCCTCACCCCTCCCCACCAGCCTCACCCCTCCCTGCCAGTCCCACCCCTCCCCACCAACCTCACTCCTCCCCACCAGCCTCAGCCCCCCTGCCAGCTTCACCCCTCCCTGGCAGCCTCACCCCTCCCCACCAGCCTCAGCCCCCCTGCCAGCTTCACCCCTCCCTGGCAGCCTCACCCCTCCCCACCAGCCCACCCCTCCCCACCAGCCTCACCCCTCCCCACCAGCCTCACCCCTCCCTGCCAGTCCCACCCCTCCCCACCAACCTCACTCCTCCCCACCAGCCTCACCCCTCCCTGCCAGTCCCACCCCTCCCCACCAACCTCACTCCTCCCCACCAGCCTCAGCCCCCCTGCCAGGCCACCCCTCCCCACCAACCCCCACCTCCTCCCCACCAGCGCCTCACTCTCTCCTCCAGTCCCAGCCCTCCTCACCAATCTCACTTCCCCCCTCATCAGCCTCAGCCCCCTAAGCAGCTACACCTCCCCCACCAACTCCTACTCCTCAGCAGCCTCTCACCCTCCTCAAGCAGTCCTGCCCCCTCTCCCCACCAACCTCACTCCCTCCCACTCACCTCAGCCTCTGCCAGCCTCTACCTCCTGGCAGCTCACTCCCTCACCAGCCCACTCCTCCCCACCAGCCTCACCCCTCCCCACCAGCCTACCCTCCCCACCAGCCTCACTCCTCCCTACCAGCTCTCTACCCTCCCGCCAGCTCACTCCTCCCCGCTCAGTCCCACCCTCTCTCTACCAACCTCACTCCTCCTACCAGCCTCACCCTCCCCTTGCCAGTCCTAGCTCCTCCCTACCAACCCTGGTTTCCTCTCCTACTTCCTCAGCTTCACTCTCCCAGCCACCTCCTGGCCACAGCTCTTCTCCTCCAGTCTCCAGCCTCTCCCACCAATCACTCCTCCCCACCAGCCTCAGCCCCCTGCCAGCCCACCCCTCCCCACCAACCTCACTCTCCCCACCAGCCACTCCCTCCCTGCCAGTCCCCACCCCTCCCCACCAACTCCTCTACTCCCTCCCCACCAGCCAGCCTGCCAGCCTCTTTCAGCAATTCTCCCTGGCAGCCTCACCCTCCCACCAGCCCCACCCCTCCCCCACCAGCCTCGCCTCACTCCTCCCTACCAGCCGGGCCTCCCCTCCCTACCTGCCTCAGCCTCACTCCTCCCCACCAGCCCACCTCCCCACCAGCCTCACCCTCCCCACCAGCCTCACCTCCTCCCCACCAGCCTCCACTCCCCTCCTGAATTCACCCTCCCCACCAAACCTCACTCCCTCCACCAGCCTCAGCTCCCCTGCCAGCCTCACCTCCCCTGCAGCTTCCTACTCCTCTCACCAGCCCACCTCCCACCTCAGCTCAACCAGCCTCACCCCTCCCCTCCAGTCCCAGCCCTCCCCACCAGCCTCACCCCTCCCCACCAGCCCACCCCTCCCCACCAGCCTCACCCCTCCCCTCCAGCCTCAGCCCTCCCCGCCAGCCTCACCCCTCCCCGCCAGCCTCAGTCCTCCTCGTCAGCCTCAGCCCTCCCCGCCAGCCTCCTCCCCTGCTCCCATCAGCCATCAGCTCAGCCCCACTCCGGAAGCCCTGGACCAACTATGTGCAATTCTCCCACGCAACTCTTATGTGCAGAAAACGCCAAGTCTCACTGGAGCGAGTGGGAAACCACAGCTCCCGAGGATAGACTGGAGACAACCTGAACCCACCAAGCAACCGCGAAGATCGTTTCTTTGTGACTTTTGGGCAAAACCCACGAGAGCAGCTGCAGGGCTCAGCCCGGCCTGTGCTGCTTTAACAGTCACTGAATCCACTTCTCCTGGTGGGTGGGAGCGCGGCTATGGAACCATGCGGGCTCCTGCCTTGGAGGGTGACTCTGGGGCCCATCATCCCAAGTGAGAAGCAGGCCAGTGTGGGGACCTGGGCTGGAAAGGCTAGGGTCTGGGGCTGTGGGCCCTGTCCCTGCGAGCCTCCAGCCCTGAGTGATGCCACCTCTCTGGGCTGTCACTAGCCTGGGCCCAGAGGCTGATGTGACCCACACTCACCCCACGGGAGGGAGGCTGTGGGTTTAAGGGCCCTCCGCAGGGCCCTGGCAAGTTCCCAGAATCCTTCCCAGAAATACTTTTATTAAAATAAACTGAGCAAGGCCAGGCAGCTCAAGATGATCTACACAAGGGGGTTCAGAGATAACCTGATGATGGAGACAGGAGACAGGGTGGGAGGGAAGCGGGTCACGAATGCACAGGAAACAGCGGGACTGTGGGAGGACCCCCTGCGGCCTCGGGCCCTCCAGCCGAGCTGACAGGCAGGCTCTGGGCTTTGGGGGCAGTGAGGGTCAATTCGGGGCTCCACGGGGCGTACTGTCCCTGTGTGCTTTCTGCGCGTGCTTGCAGAACAGGCCATAGAGCACCCGCAGTGTGCTCTTGGCATCCTTGTTCACGATGTCTGTGGACCAAAGGAGGGCAGGGCAGCCGGTCAGGCCTGGGTGGCAGTGACCGACCATCCCAGTGTGCCCTGCACTGAGGGCTTTCCTGGCATTCAGGATTTCAGTACTAACACCAGGAGAATCCCTGGAAACCAGGACAGCTGGTTGCCCCAGGCCTGAGTCCCATGCCCGCTGCGTGACCTGCCTCCTCCTCCTGGCCAGTCCTCCCCTGAACCTTCCCGTGGTGCCTCCAACACAGCAACTCCTCAAGGTCTGGCTTCTCTGGACAGCCTGTCCCCAGAGACTTTGGTCTCCCCCACGCCAGGACCTCCCCCCCTGGGGCTGCAGGACCCCCTCCCAGGAAACCTTGGCAAGCACCCGTTCTCCACCCCTGCCAAGCAAGAGGACTCTGACAACGCATGCTCATCCCCCAACGCCCTGCACCCTGTTCTGTGGCTTTCGCATGAGGCGGCCACCCAAGGCTGGCCACCATGTGGGCATCTGCCATGCACTCACCTTCAGGGCTGACGGGACAGCTGAGCAGGCCCTCATCCTTCAGCAGCTCCAGCGCCAGGGTGACGTTGTGCAGCTATGATGACAAGGCCCTGTCAGATGTGGGCACAAGCAGCAGCCCCAGGCCAGGCCCTGGGTCCCAAGTGCCAAGCCCTTCCTGTTGTCTACGATGTCCATCATGAGCCCAAATTCCCTACAGCCCCCAAGGATGGGGAGCTCACTCCGTCACACAAACAATCCATGCCTCATTCCTCAGCCACTCACAGTCCCCACTCTGAGCAGGTGCTATACCACACTAGGAACATACATGCATCTAGGGGCCACTGCCATTGAAAAAGACAATCACCAAAGAGGATACCCAGTAGGGATCAGAGAAGGCTTCCTGGTGGAGGTGATGCCTGGTTGTGAGTCCTGCCAGGCAGGGAGAACTACCCAGGGAAAGGAGCAAGGGCCTGGGGTGGCAGAGCCCCTTTGAGAACAGCTGTTTCCCAGGGCAAAGCACAGTGAAGAAATCGGAGGAACCAAGGGGCTCACTGGAGCTCACGAGACAGAAAGTGCTCAAACCAGGTGTGTCCACTCCAATGCCCACAGGAAGCAGACTGGAGACTGGAGTGGTTCCCACCCAGGTGGCTGTCCTTTCCGCCACCGCTTGCCTGGGGTGCAGTCTCAGAGATGGCCCCCTTTAGAGGTAGAGGGTGCCTGAGCATCAGTCAGGTCCCCCAGGGGTTCATTGCTCAGTTTGGTCCCTACCTGGGGCCTCCTTTTGCTCATCTGCAAAGTAGGCTTACCACAGTTCCCCTGTGCCTTGCTGTAGAATATGGTGAGAGCGCAGGAACCCTGCCGGCCCTCCTGCAGTGGGTCCCCTCCCTTCCCATTCTAGCTTCTCCCTTGGGCCTCATCTACAACCAGAGTAGGTCCCAGCCGTTTGCCTTAGGGCAGCAGCCTGGTGTGGGTGAAGGGGGACGAACTCCTGGTTCACTGTGACCTCAAACAGGTCCTCCCTTCTGCCTTAGCCACCAGTAGATCCACTAGAGGGGCTAGACATCCCAGCCCACGGGTCAGCCGTGCCTGGTCCCGTTCCCTCCCTATCTGCCTGGCCACAGCAGTCCCACCAGAGCAGGGCAGTTCCTATGACAACCCAGCCAGGGGCCAAGAAGCCAGGTTGGCTGAGCGTTGGATGAGCAAGGCCAGGCAAGACTCATCCAGAATGCCAGCCTGGCCCAGGCCACCCTCAGCCATCTCCTGGAGGGCCCGAGCAAGAGGACTCTTGGGATCTAGCTTGGATGTCTGTGCACTGCCACCCACCCCTGCCACTAAGTGTCTGACCTCAGACAAGTCACACATCCTGGCTGGGCCTCAGCTGCCTCATCTGTGCCATGCGGATGATGCATCTGTCTGCCTGCCTCTCCAAGGCTGCCATGTGCGTTCAATGTGATGACGGACACAGAATTGAAGCCATAAAGCAAGATTTGAAGGGGAGGATGATGAAGGCACAGGAGCCGGAAGTGGGTTAGCAGAGTCCTTCTCCACTTGGGGACACAAAGATGGAGGGCGGGTCCCAGATAGAAAGGAGTGTATGAGGAGGGTGCCCAGCAGCAGCAGCAAGCCCGCTCCTCTACAGTCAGCCAACAAGAAGAAACGGGCCAGGCACGGTGGCTCATTCCTGTAATCCCAGCACTTTGAGGCCAAAGTGGGCAGATCACCTGAGGTCAGGAGTTCAAGACCAGCCTGGCCAACATGGTGAAACCCTGTCTCTACTAAAAAATACAAAAATTAGCTGGGTGTGGTGGCACATGCCTATAATCCCAGCTACTTGGGAGGCTGAGGCAGGAGAATTGCTTGAACCCAGGAGGCGGAGGTTGCAGTGAGCCGAGATTGCACCATCGCACTCCAGCCTGGGAGACAGAGTGAAACAAAGGCTATCACACGGAGCCAATGCTGCAGCACGCTGCAGGTGCCAATGCGGGGTGAAGCTCTGAGGCTGTCCAGACCAAGATGGACGGGAAGCTCTGAGTGGACAGACCAGAGCATCACCGGAAGTTCCCATCACTGTGTCCCTAGTTCTTCCTCCTAGCCTGGAATATTCTGGGAAACTAGGGTTGCAATTGTTGCTATTGCTCACATTCTCATTATGAATATTATTTGCAGTTACATGGAGAGTACATGTCGGAGGGAGAACAAGACCCTGAGGAACCTGAGGTTCTAGATTCCACACTGTGCTCTCCTGCCTCAAAGTCCCGCCTTTGATATACTCAGTGAGTCAGAATCTCCCAAACTGTAATCTAGGATGGACAGGAAACGGGATATCTGTGGCCAAACATTTTTAGAAACTGATGGATTAAATAAAATAATATGGAAGTCCTTCACTGCAGGACTTATCAGAACCTTGAACGTGTTAGTGGGTCTCATGAACCTTCAAGACTAGACATGTTTCCCCAAGTTATTTATTCACAGAACCCATTTGTCACAGAGCACCTCCTGGGACCAATGCTTTCGAATCACTTTGTTCATTCACTTATTTAAAAAATACTTGTCATCTACTATGTACTAGCCACGCAACTAGTGCCCAAAACAGACCAGACCCCCGCCCTCATGGAGCTTATGCTTTGGGAGCTGCTGTCAACACTGAAAATTATGACATCTGCTTCTGTTTGTCACATTCCTCCTCAATGACACTGAATCCGAACAAAAGATCATCTCCCAGAAGAGCCGACCCTGACTGCAGGGCTATCTCCCGATGCTCTGTCCGGAGATTTTTCTTCCATGTGCGGTTTGAGATGAAGATAAAACCACCACCTTCCACAGAGCCGAGAGAAGGTTACAACCCGGGAGGATGCATGCAAATCCTCCTGGGGAAGAATAATTTAATGTGGAAGGACGCCAAGGATTCCTGGCTCCAGGGATTTGATTTCTGGGAGCAAATGATCCTCTCTCCCCCCGTCCTTAACTTCCGTGCCCATAACCAATGACTGTCTCACATAAACACCATCCGCAAAGAGGGTCTGAGAATGAGAAATCCAATTTCAGGAGGCTACTCTGCCAAGATAACAACTCCACAGGGGCCCACCTTCAGCAAGGGCTGTGTTCCCGCCCTCCGCAGCTGACGACCTCTCTGCACTTCGATTACACATTCCTGCAGCAGAGATTGCCCACAATATGCTGTAAAAATTCATTCTTGGGGTCTGAGCTAAGAGGCTGCTGCTCTTCCCCCACATCTAATCTGACTCATATTCAGAAGTAGGTTCTGAAATCAGTGGATTCAGCAAAGCGGCTGCACACAGCAACATGGAAGTCTGCACGTTTGTTCCCGTCTTGTAACTGGGGCTTGGATGGTGCAACAGATTGAGCAGAGGCCTTGCAGCCCAGGGGTGCCCCAGAGCGGCTCCGAGCTGGGTTCCGAGCCCCAGGCCCTCAGCCCACAGGTGGTCCCGCCTGCCCCCTTCCTCCACCTTCTCTCCTCACTGCTCACATTTCAGTGCCTTGCCTTCCCGAGGCAGGCTCAGAACCCAGTCTCAGCCTTGGCTTCAACCCCACTGAGCCCTGGCACCTTCCATCTCCCAGGGGCTCACGCTGGCTTCACAGGAGGGAAACAGGGAGGTCCCTAACTCACTGTGTGCTCTGGGCCAGGCTTCTGTGCCTCTCTGAACTGTTTCCTCTGTGGAAATGGGGATGGGAAGAGTTCCTAACTCCAAGACCCAACATGAGGACTTGCTAGCACATTTGTCCACACTGCCTGCGGGAGATCCCACCATCGGCCCAATTCTGTGCCCACACACTTTAGCAGGGCTGTCCCACGTCACTGCCAAGGCCACAGGGCCTGCTCCAATGGAAGTGGCAGCCTGCCCATTCCAAGCCAGGGCCTCATGCCTTCTGTCTGGTCTCTCGTGTGTCTGCCATTGCCAGGAGGAAAGTGTGCCCGGGCCAGCTGCTGGTCCCAGGAGGAACATGGCAGGCTGTGGCACAGAGCCGAGCCACCCAGCCACGGCAGCCTGATCCCCATCCAGTCCTCAGAGGAGTGACAAAGTCTAACTGAGCCTCCAGCAGCTAAACTCAGTCGACCTGCCGGTCCGTGGGAAGAAATGAGCGTGGTTTTCAGCCCCTAGGTTTTCGGGTGGTTTGTTAAGCAGCACGTCTGTGGCAACGGCTGGCCGATGCGGCTCCTCCAAATGGAAGAACCTAGGAAGCAGTGGCCACTCTGCCTGCCATGACCACCAGGACCATAGACACTGGCTGCCCTGGCCTCGCTGCTCTGACCCAGCATCCAGCTCTTGGGAACCAAGTCCAGAGCACCTGGCCTCCAGGGAAGATGGAGGCCACACCCACTCAAGATGCATCCCCGTGGGGGCGAGGGACACGGCAGGCTGCGGGCGGTAGGCTGTCCTGGCATGAGGCTGCTGCTGAACAGCTGGGTAGTCCTGGGTAAGCCTCTCGGGCTCCGGGCTCCTCTCTGTAAAATGGAGATGTAACCCTGCCCCGCCCTCACAGGGGCATGGAGGTAGGATGGGGGAGAGGGCCAGAAGAGGCAAAGTGCAGGGAGCTAACCTCAAGGGAGTGTGGACTGTGGTTCAGGGCCCCACAGAGCACTGAGGGACTGCAGAGGAGCTGAGAAGGTGGGCAGAGCTGGCCGCCCGCCCGGGGAAGCAGGTGGGAAGCAAAGCCGGGGTAGGCTGGGCTGAGAGCACAGGCTGTGTGGATGCGAGGGAATGGGGGAGGCCCAGGCCCTGGAGAGCTGGAAGCAGGCCAGAGGTCATGTGGCTGTAGCTGGGAGTCGGCAGGAAGGGAGGAGGGGACATGGCCGGGGAGGCAGATGGGGCTTGGCAGTTGGGTGGTCCACTTAAAGCAGGGGAGAGGCATGGGGTGGGTGTCCAGGAAGGGTTGAGGGGAGGGGCCCAGAAGAAGAGTCCAGGTGGAGAGGGAGTCTGGTAGGGGCCCAGGGGGGAGCTCACCTGCTACTGGGCCCCAGATAGGCCAAGAGGCCTGATCCAGTGCCAGGGACGCCCTGGGCATGTGAAAGGGATGGAAGCCTTTGTCTCTCTCAGAAACAGCCCCAAAGGCTGGCCCTGGGACTGGGCATGTGGCCCTGCCTCCTGCTTCATCTCTTCAGAAAAAGCTACTGCTGCAGAGAGATAAAGAGGTCCTCCTGCCCCGGGCCACGGGAACCCCAGCATGGATGGAGGTAAGCTGGCTGCCCAGGATCCTGGGCATGCCACCAGCCACCAACACTCCAGCCTGTCCACTGGGATGCACGCCTCCAATGTCACCTCCTGTGGGAGGCAAGGCTGGGGATACTAGGGACCACATGTCCCTCAATGCTTACTCCTCGATGGTTCTCCAAACTCTTTCTTACTACCTGTGTGGCCTGAGTGGGGGGCAGGCATTGTCAGCCCATTTTCAGAGACAGAAAACCTGAGGTCCAGGCAGGCAGGGAGCTGGTGGTGAAAAACACAAGACTCAGGCCTCTTGCCTGGCAGTGACCCAGGGTAAGCCTTGGCCCCCCGTGGACCTCTGTTTCCTTATTTGGAAAGTAGTAAAATCCCTTCTCATGGGCCAGGCCTACCGGGTAGGAAGGGTGCTCCTGACAGGGGAGCAGCCTGTGCCAAAGCCCAGAGGTGGGAGAGCCCAGGGAGCTCGAGGAAGTGGCAGCACACACAACAGGGGCCTGGTGGGGGCGGAGGCAGGACTAGCCAGCGGGCACTGATGGCTGTACCTGGGGAAGAGGCGGTGGGAGCTGCATCTTCACAGGCTC